TCTCCAGCCTGTCCAGGTCCCTCTGATCAGTCTTCTAAGAGCTGATCTTGCAGATAAAAAAGCATGGAATTCACCTGTGACAGTGGTTCAACTTCACTGAATCAGATTTACAAAAAAAAAAAAAAAAAAAAAAAAAAAACTCTGGATGGATCTTGGGTGCAAGAGAAATATTCACTATGTTGCTATCTCATGATGACTGGAAATCCTTTCCACACAACATCATTATAGTGCCTGTACTTAGAGAAGTTCATTCTGTCCAATGATCTATGAGTCTCAAGTTGGAAAAGCTAAAAGATCAGTTTTGAACATCACAAAATACTTGCAGTGTGGCTTTAGTAGTGATTGTGGCTTTAGTGTGATATATATGACTAAAAAATAATTTCTTTTTTTTTCTCCCTCAGCAAAGTTTCTGTCTGAGAAATACGAGTTCGCTCAGCAAAACAAAAACAACTTTTAAAGGTTGTTCTCTGTGGAAATCACTCCGTGCCCCATTACCTGCTTGAGTGAAACCAGACTAAGAACCTCTGTCATGGCAGCTTTTCTGCTGGGAGCCGTGTTGCTTATTGTTCAACCTCATATAGTGCCTTCCAGACCAGCTGTAAATTCAAAGGCTGAGACGTCTTCTCAGTCTGTTCCAAGAGAGTTTTTAAAGAAAACATCTCAAAAAAATGACTTCAAGGAAAGCATTCATTCTAATGGATCGTGCCAGCAGCTGCCACAGACTATTATTATTGGAGTGAGGAAAGGGGGAACGAGAGCTTTGCTAGAGATGCTGAGCCTCCATCCAGATATCGCGGCAGCAGAAAGTGAAGTTCACTTCTTTGACTGGGAAGACCATTATGGAAACGGATTGCAGTGGTATATTAATCAAATGCCCTTCTCTTTCCCCCACCAGATCACCGTGGAAAAAACTCCAGCATATTTCACATCACCGAAAGTGCCTGAAAGAGTTTATAACATGAACCAATCAATGAGGTTACTCCTGATTTTAAGAGACCCAAGCGAGAGAGTGCTCTCAGATTACACCCAAGTGTTCTATAATCACATGCAGAAGCACAAGCCGTACCCATCCATTGAACAATTCCTCATTAAAGATGGTGAACTCAATGTGGACTACAAGGCAATAAACAGAAGCCTCTATTACATTCACATGCGAAACTGGTTGAAGTATTTTCCTCTTGATCGCATCCACATTGTAGATGGGGATAAACTAATCAAAGATCCCTTTCCAGAAATAGAGAAAGTAGAGCGATTTTTGAAGTTGTCACCACAGATAAATGCTTCAAACTTTTATTTCAATAAAACTAAAGGCTTCTATTGCCTAAGGGACAGTGGTAGGGAACGCTGTTTACATGAGTCAAAAGGACGAGCTCACCCACAGGTAGATACCCGGTTACTTGAGAAACTGCATGCGTATTTCCATGAACCCAACAAGAAATTTTTTGAGCTTGTGGGCAGAACATTTGACTGGCACTCATTTGTGGCAAGTTAGTGGTAAGCTTCAGAACCTATGTTCCAGTGTACATTTAGAAATTCTGAAAAGGGCATTTAAGCTATAATTTATTTGTAAAATCCATAAATACTTCTGTACAGTATTAGATTCACAATTGCCATATATACTAGTTATATTTTTCTACTTGTTAAATTTGAAAGCATTTTGTATTGTTTTTCATGGTTGTTAACATTGTGTATTATGTGTCTATATGAAGAAACTAAAATATTTCACTGCAGAAGATACTCTCTTGAGAATGTGTTGTCTTTTTAAGAAATAAGAGATTCCTTTCGACAGAACCTTTCAGAATTATCTGAATATTTTGGTCTTTCTGGACTATTCAGGACTTTTCCCTTTAATTGATAAGGAATATACCAAACTTTACATTTCCCTTTCTCTTGCTTTAAAACATGTTGCTTAATAATTTATTTTTATTTGAAAATGTTCTTGTGGTTAGCAAAATATTCCATCCTGCTTTACAAAATTATTTCTTGATAAAGTGGTACTTCTGATACATGCTGGAACATGCACATCCAAGGGACAACGAAATGCTCTGTAATAAGACATATTAACTGCTGCACTTACCTTCATATTTAATGTTATAGCAAGTGCTTCAGGAATTCTTTGGAAGTACATTGCTAGTTTCATGGCAGATTTCTAAGATTCTGTGGGGACCAGCTCATAAAATCTACAATTGGCTGCGGAAATGCAGCCAACCTGAAACAGTCTCAGAATGTATGTATACTTCTTAAGGGAAGAGAGAGAGTTGAGAGAGGAAAAAAAAAAGCAATATGGGGACGCTTTAAGGGTTGCTTATGACTGTTTCTAAATTTTATAGCATATATTTATGCTGTGCCACCACTGAAAACCAATACATACATCAGAAAAATTGCCTGCTTTAAACTTTAGTTCATTCTTACATATATTAATACTTGTATCCAGTTTAAGACTGTTTCAATGAAATACTAATGAAAGCCACCCATGGATTACTGCTGTTTCCAAGATCAATGATGTTGAATTTTGATTGGATTCCAGCTTTGTTTGTTGTGGAATTAACCCCAATTCCATGAATTGTTATGGTCCTCCATCTACTAGAAATGGAAGTTAGTCACTAGTGTATTCCAACTGTAAAAACTGTAGCTCCTTGTCTAGGGTAGGAGTTCCAATGTTCTGATGGCCACCAATTTCCAGAGCTAGAGCTAATCCTTTGTCCAGACAAGGCTTAGTAGAGTACTGCCATTATGAATTCCTGATTTTCATTTTAAGATCTAGCATATGCCCATTGAATGTTCAGTGACAGCACCGTGTAAATTTGGATTTGTAATTGGTTCTTAAAATCCTTTAGAAAATTTAAATACAGATGCATTAAATTTTTCCTGGTGAGATGGTGCAAACTTGGGCACTGTGACAAGGTACTGTCTGGATGCAAATATCTAATATTATGCTTCTTGCATGGAAATTTGCAGATGCTGCCCCTCTCTCTCCTTGTGCACCTGCCCAAGCTGGATTCAACCTCAGAGAGGTTGTTGGCGTTGTTTTATAAAGTACCTTTGATGAAAGCCTACAATGAAATGGTATTGTACTCAATAAAATATTTTCTGAATTGCATCTTTCCCTTTTCTTTTTTTTTTGTTCAACAGTTTGTATTTTAGAAGACCATAACTTAGGACTCTACCCCTGTTTACACACAGGTTAAATGTTACTTATGAATTCAACAGTAGCCTAGTGGATTCATTGGTAAGTATTGTTTCCTACTGGCTTGTTCCTTCATGGTCCATCACTGACCCAGAACTTGCCGTAAGAACAGAGTGTTCCTGGTGGCAAGAATGCTGCACCTTTCATTAGACCAAAAAAAAAAAAAAAAAAGGTCACAGTAGCAAAAAGTATCAAGGTCCTATCAAAGTTTTAGAAAAGAATTTTGTGTAAGGCAAGCAATATCTTTTTCTTTGCTCATTATTATGCCATTTCCCTGCTGATACTATCTTTTTAGGAACTACCTGGGCCTAACAGATATCTGCACAGAAGAAATGTTTCCCACGTTAGTGTAGTCCCACCTTCGCTATTTCCTCTTTACAATCCCAGACTAAACCCACAGTCACCAATTTTCCACTAAGAAAAAGGAAGAGTACTGCCAGGCAGAGAAGAGAAATGTGGTGTGCAGCTCTGCATTTTTTTCTGCCCATTGCTGATGCCCAGGGGACACTAGGCCTTGGCTACTGGGCTAGTGCCTCTTTGGTGAAAGCACCACAGGGGTGCCAGAGAGCAGGAATGCATCATGTTCAGCTGCCACAAGCCTTGCAGAGTGGTGCCTCATGTGGCACAAGCTTAAACCTGTGAATGCCACAGCTCCTAAATTTGGTACTGAGAACACTTTTAGGTATATAATGCTGCTTGATACCAGTGTCTTGCCTGTCATAGACAGATGATATCCCCCCATTTGGACTTGTCTTATGGGCTAATCTCCATAGAAAGAAAAGTAGCAACCAGCTGGATAACTTACTGCATTAGTGGTGGAATCTTATGGCATGTTCTCTGAGGAATCAGGAGGTGAGACTGAGACAACCAGAAGGATGAACGAACTGCAGGAACAAAGCAAATACAGGAGATGACAGAAGGATTCTGTCTCCTCACCCTCAAAGCCCTAAGAAAGAATACAACCTGATGGAAGAGGATATATTGGAGATAGTGATGGATATTTCAGGTTTCTAGGGCCTTGACATGCTCCCGGCTACAAGCTTTTCACACTGCAATCTGACCACCTCAGGGGAACATCCTACGGCAAACTGAGCCACATGCTCTGGGTGTCCCTGCTTGAGCAGAAGGGTTGGACTAGATGATCTCTAGAGGCCCCTTCCAACCTCAACCATTTTGTGATTCTGTGAACTTCACTGAACTCAAGTGTTGTATTCTGAGCTCGTAAGTGGTCCACAGACAATATATCAAACCTACTGTGTACGCCTGGTATGGGAATGACAGGTTTCTACAGCACCTGGGCTGGGAGGGTGCACAGGCAGATGTGTGGTTGTTACTCTGGAAATGTCCAGCAAAAGACCCCCACATTAATACCACTAATGGCAATATTTACCTGCAACAAATGCCCCAAGTGTTAGTTTACAAGATACAAATGCTTAGAACTGGCATTGAGAGTGCAAATTCCCAGTGTAACAAAGGCAACATTCACTTTACAAAAATGCATCACCACATTTAAATATATTTGCTAGTATAATTTCCAACCCCTCCCCCAAACAACAGCAAAAAAATGTTAACAGAAGAAAGTGAAGAGAGAACACAGAAAGAGGCTGAATTGTATTCAGATTTAGACTTTGAAATACTAATAGTAAGCTTTGAAGTCATGCCCCTTCATAAAAGAAAAAAATCCTCTGAAAATATCTTCTCAGTGTTATGCCACACAGATTTTCTTTTTTTTTCCATAAAATTCTACCATCTTGGGTTTATATACCAACTTGGGTGTTGCTCCAGAGGCCTATTTCCTCCAGGCTGACAGCCAAGTCTGTGCTCACTCCTGCAAAGAATAAACACAAACCTTACAAGAATCCAATGTCCAACTCACAGCCTACCACCTCCCTTGACTACAAGTGAAAATGCCAATCAGGCCATTAATCAGGGTGGCACTGCAGTACTAAGCTCTGCCCTTTGCTTCACAACATGGATTAATGCGAGTACTTGCACATACTGAAGAGGACAAAGTTTAAACCATAATGATTATCCCATGTGCAGAAAGGTTATTTCAGTTGTATTCACAAGTGAGGCATAAAACAGGAGTGGGGAAAGGGAAAAAGTCTTTGAGGAAAAAAAAATCAGAAGTTATTGCTTCATGATCATTTTCCTTGAGCTTTTATATCTATATATAGAGATATGTACATAGATACAGATAAAATATTATTTTTTTCTCCTCATGCTGAGGATGAAATACTATTTACAGTGCTTGAATAAATAAACATTGCTTTGGACAAAAAATATTCACCTTTTTTTTAAACTTCCTTGAGTCTATTTGTCTTAGGGGTATGATAATAGTGCACCCATTGAAGAGAACACAAGACACTTACCAGCACAGAATATTTTAGATGAAAACTTCCTATATGGGGCTCATATCTGATCATCTCTCATTTCCTCCTCTGGGTCCATGGCCTGACTTAGTTTGTCCAGGAAGTCAAGCTTCTCATTCCTTCTTGCCACTCACACAGACTGCAAATACCTAAAGAGAAGTAAAATGGAATTAGGAATATATATCTTTCTTCTGCTTTAGTTAACATGACTGACCAGACATTTAAGAAAGTCCACATAAGCACGCCACAAGCAAAATGGTGAGCATCAAAGTACTTCTAAGGGATTATCCCTTCTTGTTTCTCTTTTTCATTGTCTATGACTTAGCAGACACTATGAATGAAATTTTGCAGGAGTATCACTAAGCTTCCAACTCAGGAGAGCAAGTAGATACTCTCTCACACAGTAATAAAGTATTAAAAATTATAAAAGTATAGGTATAATAAGGCAAGAGTAGTAAATTGAACATGTAAATGAACCATGTTGTCCTGCTGTTAGGTATATACCAGCTGAGGTATTTGCAAACATTTGGCCCTACAGCTGCAACATCATTTTTTCTACATTCTTAACCCAATATCTTTTATTCATACGAGTCTCTCTATTTATTCTCCAGTTAAACTGGAAAGATTGTACGTCAAATTTTAATTCCTTAATTTTGCAATATAATTGCATCGGGGAGGCCACTTACTGGTGGAACCTACACAAAGATCCTATCTGAGTGGAAAAAAAACTTTTATTAATGTTTTGCTTGCCAGAAATAAATGAAATTGCTTTTATATCTCTTAAGAGTATTAACACAGGAAGAACAGTACTCGCTTTTCTTGAAACAATAACCCATCCATGGTCAATTTTCTACTTGACTCCCACACAATAGTTGGTGCAGTTTTTAAGTTAATAGTGCAATAAACTCAACAGTGATGCTGCAGATTTTAAATGCCTTCTGGGATACATAAAAAGTGCAAGTCAGGGTTGGGAGCAGCTGGGTGCATAGAACAGCTGGTAGCATTGGTTTGAGAACAATTATTTTTGTTTAATGATATGGGATATGAAATTTTTGGCTTCGATGTCGCTTTATGATGTCTGTGAAATGTCTTCAAATTACTTCCAGGTCAATAATACTTTTGTAATAATATGACCTTTTTACTTACCATTGACATTGTGCTCTGCGAAAACACAATGTAAGTCTGCAACCCCAGAGAGCAGGTGCACGAGGGACCCCTTAATATGAAAGAAAAATTGTAAAAAACTCTGAGACAGGGTTTCAATAATGAAGACACAGTTGTTTGAGCAAAGGACTGTTCTGAAGTTAATGGCAAATTTCTTACTGACTTAATTTAGATGAGGGTTGCTGAAACAGGAACCTGTATGCATTCACAGTAAAGCAGTGGAGCACATAATGTGCCCTCATCTCCTGGGTTTTCAGTAAACAGCATTTCAACAGCAATATTCATCTGTAATCAACATGTCTTGAAATGAACAGCGCAGCCTCCAGAATTCAACAAGGTTCAGACCACATAACACTCAGTTTCAGGAACAAGAGTCCTTGCAGTACTTTTTACTCTAGACACGCTTTTCATGGAATCTCCTCTTACTAAATTTAGTGAAATTGCTCCTCCTCCTTCTGCTTCAGATCTGTCCTATCATTAACTATAATATCAAAAACTCTAAGAAAGCAGGTTTATATTCTGATGGTTAAGCTGTAGAATGTTGTTGAACTGAATGAGAAAACACAAGCCTTACAAAGTCCAGAACATAGGTTTCTGTATCCTTGTTCTAATGCTTTAGAGTTTAATTGGATAAAATTCAGCTTAATAGTTCTCTCTTCTTGCACTACAGGAGGAACTATTGTCACATGGTCACCTATGAGTATTTATCTCATACCCAGATACCCTCAACCCAGGGAGGTTGTGGAGTCTCCTTCTCTGGAGGTCTTCAAAACCCTCCTGGATGCTGCCCTGTGCCACGTGCTCTAGGTGTGCCTGCTTGAGCAGGAAGGTTGGACTAGATGATCTCTAGAGATTCCTTCCAACCTTGAATATTCTGTGATTCTCTGATCTAACCTAACTGGTAAATAAAAATGTAGAATTAAGAGAACACTTTTATTTTCTTGCTATAGTAGCAGTTGTTATTGACAATATTGTGATACCTGTTCAGATGTTTCTTATTCATAACTAACCTATGTTATGTAGACAGA